AAATGTCTTTAAATATCGAGCAGCTGAGATGTTTTGTAGAAGCTCATCTGCATAAGTCACTTAACAGATCCCGACAAAAAAGCCCACCTGTTCGATTACCAGTGAGGGTGTCATCTCAGAGTTTATAATCAGCTTCCATCCTGTTTATTATTAATGCCGAGTGCACAAAATGTGGGTGTGGATTTTCCTACATTAGCTTTGGGGTTCCTCAGGGCTCAGCACCAGGCTCATAGCTGATCTTTTAACACATGCACTGTTATACATAGAAATATAACCATTTCAACCAGCGTTCAAGCATAAAGGATTTCCTCAGTTTAGAAGGAGCCTGGGCCGACTCGCTCACCCTCTTGCGCTGGGCTCCCAGTAGGGGGCGTAGAGCCCCGAAAAAGCTGGCACGAAGTAACAGCCGTACGACGTTCCCGCTGCCGCTGCCAGTTTCTCTGAAAGAGAGGACAACAGGAGACAGAAGCAGACGTGATATTCAAGCACAAACCCCAGCACCGAGTCCTGAATGTAATCAATGATGAAGTGCACGTACCAATCTCTGAGGACGACTGCACCATCCCCATGTTGTCCTTCAACCACCGTACCACTGCCCCTGCTATGGCCACAGACCCCTGCAGGAAACAAGAAAATAACAGCAGACCCCAAAAATCAGACCAGAGCACAGACGGTCGTCACCGATCAGAGTTATTTAATAGAGGCCACCACACACCTCGAGGGCATAGCAGGCCGGCTCGTCTTTTCCCAGTTTGTAGGCAACTGTGGTGAGCAGGCCGTGGTCTGAGATCACAGGCTGACAGATCACATGACAATTATTACTGAGAGGGTGAAATATTTCTCACTAAAATTGTTATAGCAATAAATATATATTTTAAAAACAACATCTTACCTTGGTGCCCGTGTTTCTGAGCAGGAAGCAGCCAGTCCCATACCTTTACATGAGAAGAAAACAGAAGAGTTAGACACGCGATTGGTTTATTGGGGACATTAACTCATCTACAGTGTGGGTGCGCTGGTGTTTTGATCTTTGATATTCGCCACACTTAACAGATTTGCATAGTCCTCATGAGGAGGACAGAGAGGCTGTAGTGTCACATTTTAGCAGGTTTACAGCCAACCTGGGTATATTTGTTTTACGTTTCATGTCCACTTTCACTCGCTGGTTAGATTTAGAGAAAGCAGGTGGTTTGGGTTAAAACACAACTTAGCAACAGGAGCAGAAATCGGGGGACAAAAATAAAGAAACGAGTACTCTTTCTGACTCCAATCAAGCACCTGTCTTGGGTTAGTTACTGCGACTTCTATCTCACAGAGTTGATGAGTCAGGAGGTGGGGAGATTACTCAGTTGACTGAGCAGACACTGAGCGATGATTAAATCCACTGACTTAGCGTTTTGTTATAAACTGATAGATTTGTATGTTAACTGCTACAGTTTGCTAAGTACTACCTTTATTTAGAGTGAAAATAGCGACTTTACAATTTACTGAAACACAGTAGAGACCAGAGATGGGCTCTCCGATTACTTTTTTCAAGTAACGAGTAAAGTAAGGGATTACTATTGCAAAAACGGTAATTAGATTACCGTTACTTTCCCGTAGGAACGCTGCGTTAC